GAAAGAAGATTAGAAGCCATTACTTGTTGCTGTAGATCCAGGCTGGAGAAGTGAGATTTATGACCGCATCTTGAACATGTTAAACATGTTACTATAAAGTGGTAAGTTTTTGCTGGCCATAGAGTGCTTAGAATTAAAGAGAGAGAGAGAGAGAGAGAGAGAGAGAGAGAGAGAGAGAGAGAGAACCATATCTTAACCTTGAGGCAATTTTGACATATTATAAGAATCAGTCTAGTAGCCAGGTACTGGACAGCTTCCACAAGCAGTCAAGAGAATTTTATTACCTCATCTAATTGGAAGAACAATGTATTACTTTACCTCTAGTGTTTTATGTTTATTGAGGAAGGCTTTAGGAAATACCATGAAGGGAAGAGTGGGCACGAACATGCTCTTGAATTCTGAGAGAATGCTAAAAACAGGGGCCAAAAGAGACTTAAAGTTTCATATGCTTCTCCCCATCTGGGTCTGAGGCCACTGATGGAGAAACAGTGCAGTGCTTCCTGAGAGGAGATTCTAGTTAGTGAGCACAGCAAGGCTCCAAGGCCCTGCTCTCGGGACTTTGTGCTTCGAGAAACTGAGAGTACCACAATGACAAACTTTCCGACGCAACTTCTACCTTTTTCAAAAAATTGAAAATTTAAAAAATGAAGGCATTAGAGACAAAGTGACTTTCAGCACACATCACATAGCATGCGAGGGGTAGACAGGCAGAGTCTAGAACTGAGAATACACATTTGCTAAAGACAGAGCTCTGGGTGATGAACAATCACATGAGTGAGAATGTAAGAGAAATCAGCATCTTCCACTGTTTTGAACATTTTCCCCCCTTATGAAACACAGTAGAGGAAGGTGATACACGCCTGTAGCCTCAGCCACGGAGGAGGCTAAGGATCACTTGTGCTCGGAGCTTGAGACCAGGCTACACATACAGTGAGGTCCTGTCTCAAAAAACAAAAACAACAACAAAAACAACAACAAAAAAACCAAACCAACAAAGGTCATCCAAAAATCTTGCAAGGACTGTATGATTACATTAGTAGAATACACATAGCAAAGTTGAAGTGGTAGATTTAGGAAGTCCCCAGAAATTTTAGAACTATCTTGTTGTCTTTTCATTGGCTAAAAGCTATTGTTAAAAGTCCTGGAGCTTGGGTTATCCACTGCAAGAAAGATGACTGATGCAATGTAATTTTATTCCAGTGAAGAAGCAAGGAGGGATCTGTGTTGTCTCATGTTCAACAGAGGTGAGTTTTATAAAATTTTATTTCAAATCCACTGCTTCTTCCTTGCCTATTTCCTGAACTCAAAAGCTGGTACAGATCCTAAAGTGGAGGAAAGGTGAAAAGGGAAAAAAGAAGTCTGAATGCTTTCTGTGGTACCAGCTCTCCTCTCTCAGTCACACTCACACACCATGTGTATCGGGCAGCTTTTCCAATACACATTTGCTGGGACAAAATGCCTAACGTACACAGTTTAAAGGAGGAAATGCTTTACTTGGCTCGTGGTTTCAGAGGTTTCCCTTGATGATTGGCTGGCTCCAAGGTAAATACATCATGGTGGATAGATCTGCTGGGGCAAAGCTGCTCTTTTCATGGGAGCTGGAAAGCAGAGCACAGGGGAAGAGCACCAGCAAGATAGTATCTCAGAAGGTCTGACTCCAGCGATCCATGTCCTCCAGTTGGGCTCTACCCACTAACTGCACATTCAGCAATGAACACTTCCTTGATCATGGGTATGGCGTCCAGTGATCTGACCACCTCTCTAGGAGTCTCCGGAAGTCTCTTTATCCAGTCAACTTGACAACTGGAATTAATTGAGCTACCTCACTGGTCTTTCGGTCTTTGTTAAGAGCACTAAATTCAGAGTGTGAGTATTCTCTCTACTACCATGTCAGTCAGGATTTAGAGCTAGATATAGAAACTATGATAGGCATTTCAAGTAGAAAGGGATTTAATGCAGGAAGTTCTATGTTTGCAAATATCTTTACAAGAGTGTGGTAATTTTTACAACACTAAACATGGGGCTAGGAATGTAGTTCAGTAATGTAGAATATCTGTCTGGCATGTGCAAGGTCCTAGGTTTGAGCCCCAGTTTGAGCAAAAAGACAAATACAAAAACAAAGCAATAACAAACAAACAAAAAAAACCCCAAAACCTTAAACACACAATTTCCTTAGGACTCAGCATCAATTACACTCTTGGGGAAAATGAAAAGTTTTGTTCACACAAAAACTTGTACATGAATATGTAGCAGCTCTAAAGTGGAAACAGCTTAGATATAATTCAGTGGGCGAGTGGTCACACAAAGAATGGTATGTCTATACTGTGGAACACTGCTCAACAGTAAAAATGAGGGATCTGTCAATACATGCAAGTTGGGTGAATCTCCAGGAAAGAAGGGCAGTGAAAATCCATTCCCAAAAGAATACAAGCTGTATGTCATCTATAGCGCCCTCCCAATGACAACATTTTAGAAATGGAGACCTGTCTGGTATTAGAACTGTCTGGTATCCAGACTGTGATGGTGGGTATATGACCACACACCACAATAACTGCATATAGCTAAATACAGTCATAGCTCAGTATCTTCCCACCACCACTCAATACCAAAATCCTCAGATGCTTGAGTCTCTTACCTAAAAGCGGTAGCATTTGCATAAAGCCTACATTCATCTTCTCTTAAATTCTCAATTGTCATTAGATGACTTGTCATACCTAACACAAATATTGTGCAAATATTTGTTATATTGTTTAGAGAAAAGGAAAAGGAAAAAATAGTACATGCCCGTGTTGTAGATATAACCATTCCAAGACAAATATACAGTGCATGATTTGAGGTGGGTTGAATTCATGGATTCAGGACACGTGGGTATGTACTGATACTCTGTGCCAGACAACTCTTTGTTGATGTAGACTGTGCTGTGCATTGTACGATGCTGAGTAACATACCTGGCTCCCACATACTAGGAAAAAACCCAGCACAGCACCAACTGTGACAAGCTGAAGTGTTTCCAGGAATTGTCAAATGTCTCCTCAGAAGCACAGTACCCTGAGGTTGAGCATATCCCGTCAGAATGTCCTGTTACTGTGCAGCTTGCACTTTCTTTCTGCTTAGCATCATTTTCTCAGGCTGTCCAGATCTAGTGCTGACTATAAATCAGTAACTCCTACCACCAACCTCCTTCCTCATTTCCCACACCAAAAGCCTCTTCTTCCCGTCATCTCTCTTGTTATGGGCTGAATTTTTCCCTTCCCCAATTTGTATGTTGAAATCTTAAAGCTTAGTAGCTCAAAGTATGAATACATTTGGAAATAGGATCTTTAAAGAGATGTTATATGAAGTTATTAGGGTGGGCCTTAATCAAGCATGACTGGTGCCCTGTAGAAGAGGAAACTGGTACACGAATACCTGCAGGGGGACAACTCCATGTGAGCGTGGGGATGGCTGCCTACAAGCAAAGGAAAGAGGCCTGGGCACACAGCAACCTTATCTTGGACTTCTGGCCTCTACAACTGTGAGGAAATCCATTTCTGTTGTTTAAACTACCAGCCTGAGGCCTTAAGGACACATCTCAGAGAAACAGCCTTCATTTTTCATCTCTGACCTTCAGGATCTTTAAAACATTTACTTTAGTATTTTGTGTTTTATTTTCAGGCCCTAAAAATACTAGTTTTATTTTGCTTATTTAAGTAGTGCTGGGAGTTAAATCCAGGCCCTTGCACACCCTTCCACTGAGTACACTGACAGCCTGGGTAATACTGGTTTCATTTCAATGATTACTTCTGACATCACACTTTACAGGTGAATTTCTTCCCAGCTGTGATAGGCTCTGAAATCTAAGGGACAAAAAAGTCGTATTTCCCTGAGTTATCAATTTTTCTGTGATTTTTTTGGGGGAAAATATTAATTTGTCCATGCATTACCTTAAAGCATATTTACATGAAAATGTCTTTTTAAGATAATTTACTATATTTCAAAGACATTTCTTGCTTCAAGTGGGCTCAAATGAAAATGTTTCCTCTGCTTTAGGGTCTCATTCCCCATGTAAAATATAGACACATGAGATGTGAGACCAGACCTGTCTATGAAGCTGAGAAAATTTCTGACAGGGTTTGTGGTACAGTGGAGATTTTATTTAATTCTGAGCTTCCCTAATTTGAGATTTCAAGTCTGTAGCTCCTGCTGTTCTGTTGGGCCTGTGCTACAGGTTTGTAATCTGAGGCGATTGCTTGAGGCTAAGTACAGAGGAGAGCGCTATGTGAGCCTAAGCAGAGTCCAGATAGGAAGTTTGCCTTTCCTGCACCTGCTGCCTCCAGGGTTCCAGTCACTGCCTCTCCCTGCCCAGCCCAATAGGCAGCTGCCAAATGGAAGCTAATTAGAGGGACTTCAGACTGCCATCCAGGCTTGCTGACCCGGGGGTCTTTGCACCACTCTCTGTGCTGTACACGGGTGGGGGTCTAAGCCTTTCTCGTCCTGCACTGCGGGTCCTGCGAACCACAGTCCCGACGCACAGTCCCTGCAAAGTCCGGTTAGGACGAGCGGAGTTACTCCCCACTCTTGGGCCCCGTGTGGAGGTCCCGGGACGCTAGCGTCCTCCACGGAACGTGGCACGGACTCCTCGGGCAGGCGGTGCAGCAGCTTGCTGGCATCCCGGGCCATGACCCCCGCCCTGCGACGCCAGGACCCGCCCAGCATCCACAGTGACACTAGGACCCCAGGATATTCGGCGGGGCGGAGGAAGGACGTAGGGCCCAAGCCCAGGTCATCCATGGCCCGCCTCGCCACACTCCCCAGGCGAGCGTCACAGCCCTCCTTTAGGCTCCTTCCTCTTCCCCGAGCCGCGGCGGCTACCGCGGCAGCGGCAGGCCCCGCCCACTCGCGGTGCGCCGCCGAAGGGGCGTGGCGCGGCGTCTCGGGGGCGGGGCCTGCCGCGGGCGTCCAGCGGCGTCGCGCTGACGCGAAGGACGCGGCGCCCGCCTGCTGCCTCCCCGCGACCGGCCCACCCCCGGCCCTCCCCGCCCGGCTTCCGCGCCGTGTCAGACTGTGGCGGCGGGCGGCGCGGCGCGCTCTTCCTCGGCTGCACCCCGGCGAGCGGTCGCGCGTGGCACACCCCCACGTCCCTGCCGGCGCCGCTACTAAGCCCGCGCTCCGCCCTGCCCGCCTCGGCCGTTCTCCCACCCGCAGCAACATGGCACAAGCGCCGGCGTGCTGCCCTGGCCCCCGGGGCTCCGGGGATGGCGACGTGGGCAAGTCCAGGAAGGTGGCGCTTATCACCGGCATCACCGGGCAGGTGAGTCTGCGGCGGTGCCGGGCCTGCGCCCCGCACGGGTGCGCACCCTCTGGCGCTCCCGGACCCCGCGGAGCAGCGCCCGCGTCCCGGAAGGGGACCGCGCGCGCGGACCGTGTGGCCTGAGCGCGGGCTGCGGGTCCTCCGAGGCACGCGACCGCGCTCCTCCTGGCTGCCCTTGCTCACCTGTCACCTGGTGCCCAACAAGATGCGGCTTGTAATTTCGGTCCCTGCAGCGCCTGGTGCGCGGAGAAGGTGGAGAACCCGTTACCTGTGAATGTGCCCCGGGGGCTCGTCTTGCTTTTCCTCGCCGATTCCCAGGCTTGTGAGACCGAGGAGGGGATGCTTTCATGTTTTGGCTCCTCTGCACTAGATTCCAGGCAAAAAAGAGAGAATAAAATAAATGCTTTGGAGTCACAAGCTAGGAAATAGTTTTTGGAGGGAAGACTCACAAAAAGTGATTTTAGTTACACGACCCTCTGAGATACACGACTGTCTGAGATTCATGTTCACATAGCTTGAAGGTATCTGACAGACTGGTCCAGAAGTGAGAGCAGCTTTCCATTCCCAAAGACACCTCCTGGAGTGAGTTGCAGGGGAGCTGTCCGAGTGTTGGAGGCTGAGTGAGGCTAGTTCACGATGGTTGTCTCCTAGAGATGTTGAAACAGGTAGGGCCTCACCACTCTGTCAGCCTGTCTTGTCATTGCTTTACATTCAGTGGTGATAAAAAAAAAAAAAACCCATGCCCATATACTGCTGTTGAAAAATGTGTATTCCTAGATCTCTCCTGACGGTGCCCCAAAAAATGCTGAAATAAAGGTGAAGTTAAAATGATACTAGCTAATACACACTGTACTTTTTGTAGTCCAGTCACTTTATATTAACTTGTTAGTTCTCCCAACAACTTGCTCCCCACTCCCCATCCCCACCTTGTAGGTATGGAAGTGAGGCTGAGAGTTTGATCTGTCTGAGGCAGACGGGAAGTGTCCAATTGGGACTGCAACTGCCTACAGAGCTGCAGCGTTAGAAAAGCAGAAGGCAAAACTGGCCAGTCTCAGAATATTAGACAGTTTCAACTATTGGATGCATACTAATTTCTAGTCATTTGTGCATCTTGTTTTAAGATAATTATAATAATCAGATGTTTGTACCCTGGCAAGAGAAGTGGGTAGGAGATGTATCTGAGGTTGAGGAGGAAAACCTGTAATGCCAGGCACTAAAACACGTGGGGACTGCATAATGCTTTGTCGCTTTCTCTTTCGTGATACTGGAACCCCAGGATTAACAGGCATATTCTTCCTTTGCTTCAGGTTCACGGAGTGGATCTGAAGCGCAAATGTTTACCAGGTATACACAATCTTTCTCTCATACTGGAGATTGAACACAGGACTTTCATAATGAGGTATACCCCAGGCTCCCACTTGCTTTTTAAAATTTATTTATTTTGAGACAGGATCTCACTCAGTTGCCCAGGCTACAATGGAGCTTGGAATCTTCCTGCCATGCTGGAATTAAAGGCATGCACCACTACATCTGACAAGTTTATAAAATCTCATGAAAGTAAAGTTTTTTTTTTTTTTAAAAGATAGTCACAAGAAATCAGTTTTAAAATGTTAATGTATTAAATGTTAAAATGTTAAATGACCGTCAGTACAAATCAGTGCAGATTATACATGGAACCTTACTTAGGCCCTTGAGAGTCATCGCTTGGTTGGTTCATCATGAGGGGCCAGGAAAGCTTGCAAGTGGCTGCCTGCTCTAATGTGTCCTGCAGGCTGCCATGAAGTTGGAGATGTGGGCCTCCTGAAGCAGCACTCAGCATACCAGTCCCTGATCGGGCAATTCTGACTGGTCACTTCGTTTCCCACTTTATACCCCTGCTTTGTTCTCAGCCTCTTCTGTTCTCTGCCGCGGTGTCCCACGCTTTTCTTTAGTTCTGTGCTTGGCGTCATTTGTTTTTTAGTGCCACGCTGGCTTCCTAGCATGGCCTGAGCACTGTGCTGAATTCTGTTGCAGCCATCGAAGTACTTGCTGATGGAATCTGCTGCTCTTCTGTGCTTTTCATTTTCTAGGCAAGTGATGCCTCACCTGGGTAGCAAGAGTCTTTGGAGGACTGATATTAGCGCAAGGGGACTCTGTATTACTGTGCATCTTAATATTAGCCGGGAACTTACTGATCTGTGCACTCTGCTAGTTGTTTTATAGCCCTACGTAAGAGGGAGGTATAACTTGTATGCCCCCATATACCTGGTTATAAGCTTTGGCATTTTCACATAGGTCACACACGTAGTGAGTGTCAAGGATCTAGTGAGCTGATCTAAATCCTAGAGTCAAATTCCAGGGCAGTTACTCTAAGTTGTTTGTTACAATGCCTTGGGGGGAGACAGACAGACAGACAAAAAGACAGATACTGTAGACACAGAATCTGTAGGAAGAAGTCTCAGATTCAAGAGGTCCCTGCTGTGGTGCTTGGTGCTGCCATCCCAAATTACTACTTGAGAACAGTGAAGACCGCTAGGGTGTTTCATCTGCTGCACACTTCAGTATGTATGCTCAAGCTTCTTATTCTGGTTTCCCCTCCTATTGGCACAGTAGTTGTGAATTCTTTTCTCAAGTGTGTACCTTCTCCAGTCACCTTTAGAGACACCTGGACTCTGGCTTTGTGTGGCCAGGCCCCCTTCCAGTCGTACCCAAAGTTCACTTCTGTTGTCCAGTGGTATTGACTGTTCTTTCATAAAGCCATGGAAATGCTGTTCTTTTGGTACTATTGCCTTATACCTCTTTGCAGTCATTATTTGTGTTTGACTAACAAGACTTACTCCTTGTTCCTTGTAATTTGACTAAAAGCTTCAGTGTCTTTTGACCAGTCGTGTCAGATACACCAACTCCAGGAACTTCCTTTATGTTACACATATTTGCAATCTGTGTTGGTGGTAAAGGTAATTTACCTATCACTTTTTTCTGGCTTTTACTTTTTGCCCTGGATGGTGTACCTACTAACTAGGGGATACACTGAGCTACATTCCCAGCCTCTGTTTCCAAAAATAGAGCTTTAATTGGCTTTATAATACACACATTCTTGGGTCCATCATAAAACAAAAATGTGGGGCTGGGGTATAGCTCAGTGGGAGGGCATATGCTTAGCATGTGCAAGACATGGAGTTCACTTCCCAGAGTGTGTATACACACACACACACACACACACACACACACACACACACACGTGCACACGCACACACAAGAATGAAGAAAACTAGGAGTCTGTGCCTAAAGAAGTGCTTTAGATGTGGTCAAGCATGTAAGTAAAAGCTACATCAAGGTTTCAGTGTTGTGCACCGTGGAACTTGGAAGGTAGAGTCTGTTTTTAAACAGTGGGCAGCTAGTCATGGTCAAGAGGAGGTCATCTATCTGCAGATTAAAGACAAAATATGAGTAAGGCCTTCACAGATGGGTGAGCAGGCCCTTTGATTTATTAAGATTTGGTTATTTAAGCCATTTTTTAAAATTTTATTTCACTTTTTTTTTTTTTTTAGGAGGTTGGGTTTCACTGTTTTGTTCAGACTAGCCTTGAACTCCTAGATTTGAACCATCCTCCTGCCTCAGCCTCTCAAGTAGCTGGTACTGTAAGTGCCTGGTACCGCCTGATGGTCTTATGTTTTTATTTTCAGTAATTTCTGAAGTTTATTTTAAGTATAGTTTAGTTGCTGTAAAACACCTCTACCCTTCAATCAGATTACATATAAAAATGACTCACACAGACTTCACCTTCTTTGTTTAAAAATTAACCCTGATGTAATGGCCCATGCCTATAGTAGTTGCACTCATGAGGCTGAGCTAGGAGGATTGCTAGTTTGAGGCCAGCCTGGGCTACTTAGTGAGTTGAAGGCAACCTGTATAACATAGCAAGATCTTTTCTCAAACAAAGAAACAGCAAAATAAAAAATTAATTCAAAATATCAGAAAATGATAATTGAGAATTGGCAGGAAGTATTTTTTCTATAGAGTCATTAAGCTCTTTTTATAATGCTTCAGTAGAATTATAATAGATGCTAGGAATATTTTGTCTTGTGGCTTACTTTCTAATACTTGTTCAGGTTCCTACAAGTTTCTATATCCCAATATAGGTATCAGAATAATAGTTTATATACATGGAGATTTATGGAAATGTGATGAGGTCTGTTAAACACCATATGCTTGACAATGGCCACATGGAATCCTAGAGCCAAGTCTGTGTCTAGTTCAGTAGAGAGGCTCAAGGTGGGTTTTGCCTGAGGAGAATAAGAGTGGTGAATGCATGCTGATTCTTCACAGGACTGTGACTCTTTGCGGGTAGGAGAAAATCACTACCCACTACTCTTTAAGGGTAGGGAAAAAAATCACTTAATCACTTACCTATCGATAAGAACTGATACGGGGTAGGTTCTCGAAATGCTTGATAGCTCTGTTAATTTTAAATTACATAAAATGTGCCTGGAAGTTATAGAATTCCGTATCTATTGGAATAAACTGTTGGGGCCAGGGATTTAGCTCAGCAGCCTAAGCACCTGCCTGGCAAGTGCTAGGTTGTGAGTTTTTTTGTTTGTTTGTTTGTTTTTTTTTTTGTCTTTTTCATTTTTATCAGTACCAGGGATCGAACTCACGACGCCTGCTTACAAGGCAGGTACTTATGCCACTGAGCTAAATCCCCAGCCCCCAGGTTGTGAGTTTGATCCCTGTTACCAAAAACACAAACAAACAAAAAACGAGGAATAAACTGTTAATATGTGTTCCTTGATGGGTGGGTGGAGCCAAGCCATTTGTAGGATCCTGAGAAGAATTGGCTAGTATGTCCCTAATGGACAAGTTAAAGTTTAAAGAAGAAAATAATTTGTTATTACTTCAGATTGAAAGCATTTGGAATGTGTACATTTAAGGGAAAAATAGCATACCAGTTTTGCAAGATAGACTTGGTACTGTTTTTATACTTATGCTAACCACCAAATTTAAAATAATATTTGCTTGGC